CACAATGTTGTTTTCTGATACGTGATATCCAGGGAATGACTCCTTGAGCCTGATATTCTATCTTCTGTTTAATGAATATAAATCCTTGAAGAAAGACAGTACATTGTGAGCATCCCTTATGCCCACAATCCATGATATATAGTTAATGGGCTTACTGCTCTTTGAATACCTGTAGAAACATTATAGCTGCTGACTATAGAAGGAAGAAATAGACATATCATGTGTGGGAGTCAGCATAGTCCATTCATCCTAATACTTCTACCATTCTTCAAATAGAACATAATACAAAGGAGTACAAGCTTATCCTCATTGCCATTTCAGTTTTTGGTTAAAGATTGCTATGATCTATTAGTAAACCAAAGATGCAAATACCTAAAAGTCATCACAAACAGAGATGTTTGTTTACAAAGTTCCCAAACCATGCTCAGTTATAGGTCTTAATGGGAAACTTCTGTCATCTATGCAGAGGCAAGCATGGCTTCCTGAGCAAATTCCACTTAATCCCATTATCTCTATTTGATTAGTAGTGATCAGAATTAATGATTGAGCCATCAAAATTCATTGTAAAAAGTGAACAGATTTGGATGCCAATTATGGTAAAAGTATGGTCATCTTTCATCAACTGATACTAGAATTTCTGAAAATTTAGCAATCACATTTCTTAAATGATATCCCAACCTCTTAACTTGTAGTTGTATTATCACTTTTAAAAGACAATAGAGTGCTTTCACGGTGTTATTTAGAATAAGCTTGGGTTCACTTAGAATATTTACAACACTGAAAACCAAAAACACATAAACAAAACCAGAAGAAAATGTACAGAACAGTATGGGCATCAATACATGAACTGAATTCAGGTTCTTTAGAATTAATTAGAATATGAGAATTAAAAAAATGAAAAGTGACAATTTATATAAGGATAACAACCTCAAGATGAACCTGACCACAAGAAAAGCCCGAAAGAGTTTTATATAAGACTATTGATACCATCAAGGGCAAACAATCTGTTTCCAGTATTATTAAGACAGATGAATCTACAAAACAACACTATTCTTAAATATTATTAATAATATCATTTGTTTACATCTCAAACGATATTCCACTTCCCTGTTATCCCTCCACCAACCCCGCCCATCCCACATCTGCCTTCTCTCTTCCCCTTTGCCTGGATTAGGGTGCTCCCCCACCCACTCCCACTCTCCCACCCCACCAGTCCAGCATCCCCTATGCTGGGGCATCAAACCTCCACTAATATCAGCCTTAGTCTTTAAAACTTTAGAAGAAAATAACCTCTTGAGATTATATGTGTGTGTGTGTGTGTGTGTGTGTGCATGTGTGTGTGTATATCATTATATCAATGATATTTCAGGTGAAATGACTCATTTGTCAACTGAAAATGTTGATAAAATTTAAGATTAATGTTTCTTAAAAGTCCATAAGGCCTCAATTGTACACAGAAAAGTACAGGCACCTAAGAAAAGCTGAGAGTAGGAAAAAATGTCTTCCTCAGTCATGAGCCCAACAATTTATTGTCCCATGCCAAATGATCATCCCTGAACACACACATCAAAGTAACACTGTATGGATTCAACATGCTATACATAGGAAATATATATTTCTTTAAAATACATACATACATACATATATATATGCATATATATATACATGTATTAACAATCCATGAAAGAAGAGGCCATCTATTTGAAGGATTGTGCGGAGGGGTATTTACAAAGGTTTTGAGGGAGGAATGAGAACAAAAAAAATGTTATAATTAAATTACAATCTCAAAATAAAAACAATACCAAAAATGATTAAAATTGAACATTTTATAATACATATACTTTGCAGCAATTAAAACTAAGAAAATGAATTATAAAACTTAAAGAAAATGTTTTTGTTTTCTCATATCAGGAAATCATTATGCTCTACAGTTCAATTCATCAGTTCTTGATTTCTATGTCTGTCTGTACACATAAAGTACTATATGTTTTAGTTCTTTTGACATTTTAGATGTTTTCTAGGTAGTATTCTTAATCCTCTGTGTAATCTTTTTCTAAGTAGCTGTTGTCCTTCTGCTCTGACCTCCTGTCCTTTCAGTCTGTCATTAATTTATCAAGTAGAAACAAAAATGAAAGAGTTTTTATAAAAGGAACTTTTCCCTTAATATTTAGCCTTAATGTTCAAGAGAACTTTTTCTGGATGCATTCTACCATGGCTGGAGAGTTTCAGAAAATCTATAGACAGTTTGTAGGATGGAAATATATATGAAGAAAGCACTCACGTAGCAAGTTACAAAAAACAGTTTATCAGACATTGTGTAAAAGTTATAATTCATGAATTCTTTGTATTCTTTTCATAATCCTTCCAAATAAACTTGTATTATAATCATGGTATGTATTTCTAATTATCACACTAAAAGACAGAGAAACCTATGTATCTCGACCATAACTGTCATTCACAATGTTCAGAATCTATGAACTCTTTTTTAAATATTTTAAACATTTCATTAGTTCTTTGGAAATTTCTTGGGTTTTGATTATATTCACTCCTCAGTTCTCAGGTCCACCCTCCTTTACTATCCATCCAATTTTATGTCCTTCTTTCCCCATCAATAACAATTGTGTTGCCCAAATACTTTCAAATGTGTGGCCCACCACTACAACATAATCAGTTTGGCAGGTGACATACTGTTAGGAAAATTAAGCTTGCCTTCTCCCAGGAATTGCCAAAAACTTCCCTGTTAGTGATAGAATTTTGAAATCAGTAAGATTTCAGTTTATTAAAGAATAAATGAGAAAAATTAATTAATCTTGGCTTTATGATTTTATTTATATAATTTCTTAATCAGCTTAATATATTGTTATGTATTTTAACATCTAGCTCCATCTTTCAATTGTTCCCCTTCCTCTAACTTTTATGCTCCCCTATTTCCATGGAGTCTCAACAACATAGCTGACAAAGCCTGACCTATGACAACACCAGTTGGCCTGCAAATACTACTGGGAAAATCTCTTGGTCTCACAACTCTAGATGCATAGCTGCAGGCAATTTATAAATGTGGAAAGTGACACCTAGTCTCTTGCATGGATGAGTTATCTAATTGATTATCCAATATGAAATTGTCAATATTAAACAAATATACAAAACAGCAAAACTAAGAGAACTCAGTATGTTGTGTTTATATGTATGCACACAAGTCACAATAATAAAGGAAAACAATACAGACAATAGTTCAATATATTAAAATATTGTAAAGTAAAAAGAAAATTTTCTTTATTATTTCTGATCTATCTATTATACTCTTCTACAATTTCATGCTATGACGTATTGTGATCAGTATAATTGAAAACTTTCAGTGTAACTTTTTAACATATATTAATATGTTATACATTATTATATCATAAATTATATATTATATATTGTATATTATATTATATATCATGAACTATGTATTAATTATATCATATACCATATATCATATCTTATATTTTATCTTACATATATATCATATATAATACATTATATATATTTATTAAATATTATGCATTATATATCATATATTGTATATCATATATCATGTTTCATATTATATACTATACATATGGTAAAATGTTCACATATATGTATTATATATACATAGCTTTCTAGTTCTTTTAATATCAGTCATCTTCTATGGAAAGTTTCTGAAAACTCCAGCACCTGCAGAGTAACAGTCTTTATGGTCCAAGAAAAATATTATCCAAATTGACTTGATAATCAGTGTTAGTTTAAACTTCAAGGGTCTGATACAAGAAAGTTTATTTTTGGCCTACTTTAGAATAGTACAATTTTGGACAAAAAGTTCCATGTTTACAATTACCTCAATCATGTGTTCATGATAAAGCTTAAGAAATGACTGTATTTAAATTACTTGCAAAGTACATGCAACCTCTTCATAAAGATGGATTCTATAGATTGACTGAGAAACAGTGTTCAAGATAGGATCTAAGAATGATTGAGATTTATCAAAGTCTGGGAGAGTCAGGTGTGACCTGGACCTATAGATAGCACTGAGGCCAATTGGGTTCTACTCCATTAGTGAAGCCCATGTGACACTCCCATAGAGATGGGTTCTTTTGTATAAGAAACAATGATCAAGATGAAGTTCTAGGAAAAAAGATCTGGATAAGCATAGATTCTGGAGAAGTAAGATGTGGCCTAGTCCTTCAGATAGCATAGGAGTCATCTAGATTATAAGGTATCTGCTGTTCTGTATGTGTGAGCCCAGGAGAACTAGGTAGGAATTGGCCCTACAGATAGTACAGGGTCAATATGCTATTAGCTCTTCTCATTTCCAGCCTTCTAGGTGGAAAACAGGTGATACATCTCAAGCCTGATATGGATGTCTCCTCAGAGGTCTTCAAGAGTCTGACATATTCAGAGGCAGATGCTCACAACTAGCCATTGAAGTGATCATGGGGTTCTCAATGGAGGAGTTAGAGTGAAGACTGAAGGAGCTGAAAGGATTTGTGGCCCCATGAGGAGAGCAACAATACCAACCAACCACAGCTCCCAGGGTCTAAACCACCAGCCTGGGAGCACTTATGGAGGGATCCAGGGCCTTAGCTGAATATATAAGAGTGAAGGGCCCTGCTGGGCACAGGTGGAAGATGAGATCCTTGACCTCATGAAGGCTGGACGCCCCAGGGGGTGGGAGTTTTGAGGGTGGGGAGGTGGGAGTGGGGGGGTAGATAGAGGTTACATCCACAAAGAAGAAGGAGGAGGTGTGAGGGGATTGGGGGTTCCTGGGTGGGTGGGGGATGGGGTAAGGGGACAACATATGAAATGTAAATAAAACATCCAATAAAAAAATTAAAAAAAAAAAAAAAAGAGACAACAATATTTGTGTAACATTTCTGGTTTCCCTAGTGCTATCTGTGAGGGTAGAGACCTTTGTACTCTCAACACTCCTCAGGGTTTATACTGTACAACTAAAAATGTTTCTCTGAAACTCTGAACATGTATTTACCTGGCATGGGTGAAATTAGGATCACCACGAAGGTAGTTTTCCAAGGCAAAGTTTATCCAATTCACTCTGGATGTACTCACTCAGGGGTTTCCCCACAAGCAGGAAACACGGCTGCATAATTTATGGTAATGGGGGACTGTGTTCACACTCTCCCCTGGAAAATAAATAAAACTATAGACATTCATGTGTATTTGATACTTTTCTCTATTTTGAACACATGAGCATGGATTAAATGTCTCTTGGAATGTTAACCACTTACCATACACTGTGGCATCACATAATGCTCACAACATTCTAGAGGAATGGCAGCAAATTACTTGCAAGTTCCTTTTCCTTTCTCATCATTTTCCAGATGGGAAGATTCAAGTTGTAGAACAGATTTTAGTGAGCTCAGCATGATTGTTTGTTTGTTTGATTTTTTTTCTTAATTTTGTTTAATGATTGGGGTAACTGGAACCTTCTCACTTATAGGGTCACTTTGTGGCTTATCTGTGTCACATTCACATTCCCTGAATCACCACTGTCATCATGGGTGACACTACACAGCATCATCAGAGCTACCCAACCACAGTCAGTCACACTGAGAAGGTCTGTCTGGTATCAGAGGTGGTTGTTGAGTGACTGATGGGTGGGTATCTTATTCAGAGTGGACATGATAAATAAAAGATTTCACAGGAGGCAGAGCTGAATCCTGTGACACTCCAGCACCATTTCCAGAATGTCAAGGGATATTAAAGTTCAGAATTATTTACTTCCAGAATTTTTGCATTTAATAGTCATTACTTTAACTTATTTACTCTTGTGTCATAACTGTCACTAGGCTTTTATGAATGGATATGTTATTGTTTCCTATGAAATTTATTCCCCATAATTTCTTGAGTTTTTCAGTTATACCGTATAATTCAAAGGGTGGCTTGGTTTCCTGTGAGTCCCAAAAGGTCTGCTTGTCTGATATTGAACCTTCAGTGGTACAGGATGATTTAGATCTCCGTAGTCTCTAAGACAGATAGGAAAACGAGGGTAGTTTAATATATAGCTAGGAAGAAGAGGTAGCTCTTAGGCATTAAACTCCAAAAGTTGTATTACATAAACTAACAGTCATTTAAAGTGATTTAAATGAGCAGATGAAAAGAAGTGAATATGTCTGTCAATGAGATAGATCTGAGGAGATTTAAATGTAGTATTATCTTGTGCTTGGAGAACGGGGAACTACTAGAGTGCTCTACTCAAAAGCTACATCTCAGCCTCACCATTTCCATAAGATAGCCAACCCCAAATGTACATACACATGGTTAGTTTAATGTAATTTTTAAAATATATTTATTATATTGAGTTTTCATTTTATTCAAGCTATGGAAAGACAATATAAAAGTTGTATTTCCTGATTTTATTTTAATCAATGACTAAATTATTAGTTATATAGTTTCAAAAGTCTAATAATTATTTAAATTTTATTGGTATATATAAAACCACATACTTTTATGTAATAATAATTTTATGTATGTGTTTTCTATACTACTAGTATATCTAACTATCCTTAAATTGAGGTTCTTATTAAGATATCTGAAAGGTATTTATGCCAATAGTATGTTATATCTTAAACACATAAATTATTCTGAATTGAGTATTCTTTGTATTTATAGTGTGTTAGTTTCATAGGTAATAATTTGTCTTTTGAAATATTTTTTATGGATATAAATATTTTATCTCCATGTATATTTATTCACCCTGTGTATTCCATGTCCGCAAAGAGCAGAAGAGGCTATCTGATGCACTGGAACTGGAGTTACAATCAGTTGTGAGCTCTCATGTGATTGCTGGAAATCAAATCCTGACCCTCTAGAAGAGCAGCAAGTGGTCTTAACCACTCAGGCGTCTTCCCAAATTCACTTAAGCCATTGATTTAAAACTATCTTGCTTTAAACATGTCTCTAACTACATTAACACTGTAATTGTTAAAACTAACTGAGAAATCACACTGCCTCTGAAAATTTAGTGTTTATTTTTATATTTATGTTCCAATAAACCATTAAAAAAACATTGCTGAGCCATGAATATCGTTACTCTAGTTCATCTTTAAATGGTCCTAAGTTACCACTTGGTTATTGGACCTTTGAAGTGTCTTTATAAATCTTGAGATTAATGATGAAGGCTGTAAAGCGAGCTTGTAAATGTGCTCCATTCTTCCTCGTGTTCTATGAAAAAAAAATACGTACTCCTTTTTTTTTCAAAATCATTTCTTAGATTTCTCTTTGCAGACATCCATATAGTTAATCATGTAATATAGTGATGGTTGATGCATACTAAACCAGCTTACATAGCGATGGTTCCTCATTCATTAAAACAGTGAAATTTCTTTAATAAAAGTAAAATTAATTGGGTCTCTCTTTGTCTCTTGTCCCTCTGTCTCACTTTCACACATACATGTACACACAGAGACACCAAAACTGTGTAAACTCTAATCAGACTTTGACCATAGATTTTTTTTCGTTTTTTGATTTTTGTTTTCTTTTACAAGAAGTAATTTTTTTCACACTGTCTGAAGCAGAAAAGAAATTCCAAGATATTACTTCAATTAGTAAGTATACTTATTAAAGAGATTTTGACTGTTAATATAAGGAAATTGTCCATAAGATTGCTTTTGTGAGATTTTTAGTTAATGATTTTTTTCCTTTATGAAGCAATCTTCCTTTATGAAGTGTTGGGGTCACAACTGTAAATATTTAATTTAAAACCCTAAACTAAGAATTATTTCAGAGGCTATTACATCCCAGAAGTGGAACACAAAGACAGCATCCTTTCTGCCTGATAAAGCTTTGAAAGTCTCTATCTAGAATCAACAATCTGATCCTTACACATAACTATCATTACATTCTAATGGATTTCTTCAATTTAATAAGTAGATCATCATCTCTTGAACTGAGGCAATGGCTGAGAGAGTAAATTTCCCAATGTAGAAGAACAACAACTTATGTTTGTATCTGTAAAACACATGTAAAAAAAACAGGCATACCCATGAGTGTAGCCAAAGACAGGTAGCAACCTGAAGCACACTGAAGAGCCATAAAGTCTGGTTATATTTGTGAACTTCAGGCTTAGTGAGAAACCTTGTCTTAAAAGATAAAGGAGAATAATTTAGACCTTAATCATCTGTAAGAGCAACTGGCAAAGATTTCCTCCCAGTGTGTGTTTGTGTGTGTGTTAGTGTAAACATGTGTGTATGTGCATGAGCTCTCTATCTTACTTGTTAACTTCCCTTAGTTGACGTTTCTTAGTTTCTCGAGACTCTATATGTTGATTCTTGGACTTATTTCCTGTTCTATCAGCGTCTAATTCAGAGTTAACTGTGCCTACAAATTAAAGCATACTGGATATTTGTAGCAAGAGTAGAATATAGTGATTCAAAAGGGGAGTGATATTGACAGTTAAACAATCAAGTGAGGATGGGCTGTAGTAGAGGAATTAGTGTATTTACCAGAACTAAGACTATATTATGAACACACCTTATGGTAACCTAGTAGTTAGAAAGGTATTTTCAAAAGATAACCAAAAAATAAAATTTGGGATGGCATGACTGAGTTCATGTTTGTAAACAGACAGTAATACACAGGTTATATTTTACGGAAGTCTCAGAACAGCAAAAATCATTGCCATTGCCCTTGCCTTTGGTACCTCAACATTACTACCTGGCAAATACCTTATTGCTGAAGACACCATTCACTTTGGCTAAAAGACATAAAGAAATCTATTTTTAACAGACCAAGAAACTTCCTCCCCTCTGGCTAGCAAGCTTTCATGGAGCCTGAATATGCTATGTAGACTGCTTTGAAGAGAAGACATTAATGATCTTCTGTAGTGCTGATCCTTCAAGCTACACGACAAACCTGCCAAGTAAGGGGGATCCTACTGGTACAATAGTGGAGGGTTGTTATATGATAACTAATTCCTTTCTACTTATGGTTAGGTCATTTCAAGTGAAGGAATTTCCTGAATCACACTGAAATCCTGTGGTTTGGGAGGCCACAAGCCCTAAGCTAGAATCTATTACTGTTACTTTACTCAATAGTCTTAAGTCCAAATTCCCTTCTGAATATTTATGTTTATATCAATAAACCTGGGCTGCTCTTGACCTTAGTTGGAGACCCACGCCCCTAACCCACCTGCCCAGTGTGCTTTAGCTAACATTAAGATGCATTACTGGTTTCAGTGCTGAGAATGACTGATTTACTTCTCAGCAGTTAATGGAACATTTTGTTCAACCTTTCTCAAACCCCACTCAAAGGCACATGGAACATCATAGGTGAAGAAGCACAAAGAATATATAAGCTCAACGAGAGAAAGGAGTGTTATGTACAGCAAACTCCTGGACTTATAGCAGCTATTGCATTCATGAACTCATGGCACCTGAGATTACCTGATCTAGACACACACAAGATCAATCCAGGCAAAATGATGCTGATGATGAAGATGATCGTCAGGCTCCAACTTACTAAAGAGCTACTGAAAAGTGACAGCTGCTGGAGTAGGGATATTCACTCTTCTTAATCAGTGGCCTGTGGTAGCTCCATGTGACAATTGATGAGCATAAGCACACACACAAACACACACACTCACAAACAGACATGCACACACACACACACATGCACACGCACACACACACGTGTGCGCACACACACACACATGGATAAAGCACCAACTGGTCTTAGTGAGTTAATTTAAGAAATAAGAGAGGAGGGAGTGTGTGAGGGAGGGAGGGTGAGGGTGAGAGAGGGAGAGAGAGAGAGAGAGAGAGAGAGAGAGAGAGAGAGAGAGAGAGGGAATGAAATTAGGAGTGGATAAAAAATTTGGGATTAAGGGGAGTTAGAAAGTAGTAAAAATGATATTATGTTTTATTGGATCTATGCATGGATTTCCCAAAGAAAAGAATTTTAGTAAAAAACTCAATTAAAAACCATAATTAAAGACTAAAAAAAAAAGAAATGGAAAACAATAAATGATACATATGGGACGTGAACTTTTACCTTTCTCATGTATTTGTACATACAAAGCCATGCCTATATACAAATATGCACACAGTCATGCCATGTAATTAGCTATATCCACTATAAGTACACATACACGCAAACTCACACACAAGTGCACACAAACACGCATGTA